AATCCGATCCGCGTTCACAATCCGTAGTGTGACACGGGCATAAGTGGCGCTGCAGTGAGTCGGAATGACATATATCTTAACCTTTAAAATCTTAACGCTCAATATCTCTGTTCATGAGGCCGCCGCGGCATTTTTTTTGCAGATTCTTTCAATTTGAGTGAAAACGCGTCGGATGAGTGTATTTTCATTAAGATTTTAGGTGGGGTATGCTATTCTAAATAATTACCTGATTTTTTTTTCGTTAATGTGAGAAAACTTTTCGTAACTTCGTACAAAGTCGCGAAATTCCTGAGTTGCTTCTGCATTCTCTTTTACTTGTATTGCAGGTTCCTTCTTGATTGGGCTCCACAGCGAAAGCGAATCCTTGCTTTGTTCCTCTGAATCTTTACTCGTGGCAAAACATCTCGTGGACGAGGACCTTGCTCTCAGAACGCCGTGAGATCGTAAATTAACGCTTTCTCGAGACGACGTATCCTGTTCATGATGACAAATAGTTCAGTTTTCTGTATCGTCACACTTGCGCACCATCAATGACTTTAGGTTAGTTCATCAACGTTTCCCTTCGTAGGGCAGGGCGAAGATACACTGAATGTGCAGGATCTAAGATGTACATCTGTCTATTTGCTAATCCTCGTGCATAGGCTGCAACTGACTATCGAGGCGTCAGAGTCCTGTTTGACTCTTGTAGAGCGTGAGATCGCCATCATCCGACGTCACATGGAAGTGATGCAGGAGGTACTGCTTAGCAATAGAGAGCAGTTAAACACAATGAGTCGTCTAATGATGCACCTGAAGTCCGAGTTCGCTCGGATCTACGGCATCCTTGCCGAGCAGGGGGAGGTCGCGGCCTCGGAGGACGAGGAACGTCCGAGATCACCAATGCTCAACCAGAGGCCATTCAACCATTTCTGGTAAGTATCGGAAATCGCGGACTCCAAGAAGCCGTCTCATTGTTAGTCTTTTCAGATATGTGTAGCTGTTACAGTTAAAGCACAAGAGTGACAACGCGAAACCCCACGTGAGAGAATGAGTGCTTAAAATAAGTTTTATATCCTTTTTACTCCTGCGTTTATATTTTTCCTATCTTCCTTTCTTCCTTCCTTTTATCTCCCTCGATGATGTGCTACCTTGTGGTGAGGGGGCTCCACCGACTGGTCACCAAGGGCACATGGAACCCTCCTTTTTTTATTTAGCATCCATAGTTGAACACACTGTTGAGAAAAAACCAAGGAATACTACCCATGGAATTTTTTTTCTTGGGCTACGTTCCAAAACTTCCTCTCCGAAGAAAATTTTACTCGAAACATATAGTACACGTGATGTATACTATAGCATGTAAAGTAAAATCTTCCTCGGAGAAGACGTTTTGGAACGTAGCCTTGTTACAGAAAGAGTTGTATCACTATCCTAAGCAAAGCTGAGGTTCTGTAAAAATTGTTGTGCTTTCTGTTATCTCGGAGAAGTTATCGCGATTAAAAACTTCAAATTGATTTTAGAATTAGAATTGTCAACGAGAAAACTTGTATTCTATAGTAACTATTATAAAAAAATATTTAAGAAAAAAGAATTCGTTTAACTTATCGTTTCTAACGTCGTTTATCTTCTTTTTGCTAAGAGGAAGTGAAAGGAAGATTATGTTGCCATGAATGTTATTGCAATATTAAATACATTATGCAATTTTTTTATATTATACGATGTTTCAGATTATCCTAAAGGGAGATTAAAACGATAATGTCGCAGTGTCAAGTATTGCAAGCAGAAACATTTCTACTTCAACTCCTGTGAGTCAGATAATTAAGTTGTGTCTATTGAGAGTATGTAGTGGATAACAACGAAACAAGCTGTGATGGTAGACCACCAGGTTGCATACACGTGTACAATAAGCGCAGGGTGGGATACATCGGTGAGACAATAAATAAAAGACTACATAAAAGATATTATTTTATAGGAAATTTATCTAAACATTGCTAAACGTATTATTCAGGTGATAGAATTTTAGTTGCTAGGAAGGAGTGAAAAGTAAAAGGGTATATTGGTTGGTTTGAAATAACATATCCCTAAAGTTTCCAAGTTTGATAGCAACAATCTGGTACTCGGATGACAATGGCACACCTCTAGATACAAAAATACAGGTGCCTATTCCACACATACTGCAAACGAAAATGAAAGAATACTCGCAGCAAAGGAGCAAATTATACTAAACTAATAACGATTGCATCCAGATTCGCGTAATGTATCTATCTTGCTAACTATCGTAATATATATTAAATATTTTAATGGAATGTTAACATTGTACTTATTTAGTATTTTCCACAAAATTTGTGATATGAAGTGTACTATTCATGCATCTCTGTGTATTTTATTGTATTAATATTTTAATAATAAAATTAGCACATTCAGACCTATTTTTTGTCGTATATGCACTATATCTGGGTATGTTCCATTTAACACATGTTTGCAACGTTTGCATCATTATATCATCTCATCCTTGTTTAATGTTTGATGACAAAAAGGATGAAATGATCGCGTATCCTATGTATGTGTATGCTATGATTTTAGTACGTAAGTATAGCGCTGGCAAGTGTAACTTTAGTTCAATTATCAGCCACGTGATGTCTATCACTTTGTATTTAAGCGATTATTTAAATTAAATGTCGAAATTATATTATGCCTATGTTAAGATTTATGATATTTGTGTTAAAATTTTAGATAATTGCTTAACTTTAATTCTTCGCCTTTAAATAGAATTTATTATCAAAGTTGTCTTCATAGAATTTAGTAATCAAATTAGTAATACAAATAATCCTTCAGTTCTCGGAAGCACCTGTTTTCGATATGATTTCTATATAAGAATAGAATATAGATAAGTATTTCGGATCCTCCTGCCAGAGGTAGAGGGTAGAGGATCGGTAGTCTGATACTGGTGAAGGAAGCGCTTGCTGTCCCTAATAGGGTTAGAAGAGGTCAACATGGTTTAATCATCAAAATCTTTATTCAATAGTTTCATTACAGGCTCAGGATGCAAAGAATACAAAACTGTTTCAGCATAGTAGGTCTGGTATTACTCCGTGTTGTGACATGAACAGTACAAATCATAACAAAAGTCTGTAAAAACAGACTTCCCACAAAAAAATAGACTTGGACAGTCCTTCATACGCACATTATGAATCCTGTCAGGTTCTACCAAAAAAAAATAGTAAATAACAACAAACTAATTTAATTGATAAGTATTGTAAAAAATACTTAATTAATTAATTTAGTTTATAAAGTTGTAAATATGACACAAGACTGAATACAACCAATACTCAGCAATATTATTGCCTGTGTTGTGATATTCACTGCCAATACTGAACATCTATAGTATGTGTCAATCATCTATAGATCAGTACTATAGCAGTAAATATGGGAACAGGGCAAAACACAACAATACTCGCATAGAATAGAATTACCAGGCTTACTATGCTGAAAACAGCAGTTTATCAGTTAACAGAAACCACATGGACAGCAAGCGCTATGGGTACTATCCTAATTCAATCAGTAACGTTGACTACCTTTTTGCGTTCAGCATAACGCAACAGTTTTGCTGTTCAAAAATTTTTTTTATCATTGTCTAGTCTAAACGACCCGAAATGCACTCAACATCTCGCAACACATTTACAATACTTAACGGTCGGCATGGTCGCCATGATGGAAAGAAGAAAGATATGAGTCACTCCCATTATTCATCATGGTGGAGGAAACCATGGTGGAAGGAAACCATGCGATTGATGGACAATGGAGTAGGTACCACAGTTGGTATCATCAGCTCGATTATTATTACAGTCGGTATTTGCGCAGCGATTGCAGGTAAATATGTAGAATTATCGAAAGATAGAAAGCTTTATAAAGTCTTGCGACGTCCGCGAGAGATCAGTCTCTCACTTGATCGTCGTTTCGCTCCGATCGTGGAAGAACGTGTCGGCTTTTATTCATGTATACCGTTGTACTGCGTTGTACGCTGTACAGCGTGCGTTTTCCTTTCGCTGTCGTTCTCCGCTACGCGAGGAATAACGCACTGCACGTGAACGGTAAATGGCCGCGAGTCGCAGTGACGTGCTCTCGACAATTTTTCGCGGTGCGCGAATTCGTGTCGGAATATGTAATTTTGATAATTATTTAGAATACGGACTGCACCTCCGATTTTGATGAAATTAAGCTCATTCGCCGCGTTTTTGCTCGAAACGGAAGAATGTGTAAGAAAAACTATTAGGTCAGCCCCGCGGACCGAGATATTAAGCGTTAAAGATGATGACTATTGAGGTTAGAAAATATGTCATAGCTACGAGGTGCAGCGATACGACTGGACCGTCTATGCGCCGCGGTCATGCACAACATGCAATTGAAGATAGAATAAGTATTTTCTACTTCAATTACACAAATTCTCTTAAATTCTCTGCTTTATAAGAACACATTCTATGTTTTGAAAATACATATTATTTTCTATATAAATTTTGTTTGTACAGTAGAAAATTTATTTTTAAACCAGAAAATTTGTGTTTTTAAAGCAAATACCTAATCAAAACAATTATCTGCTGTAAAAATAAAAATTATATAGAAAATAATTTGTATCCTTAAAGCAGAGAATGTGTTTTTAAAGAAGAGAATTTGTGTAATTTAAACAGAAAATGCTTATTCTGGCCTCAATTACATGACCACGGTACATAGATGTGTCCAGTCGTGTCACTGCATTTCATCGCTGTGATAGATTTTCTAACTTAGATAGTTGTCAACTTTAATGCTTAATATCTCGGTTTACAGGAACGACCTAACGTTTTTTTCTTACAGATTCTTTCGTTTCGAGCAAAAATACGTCGAATGAGACTAATTTCATTAAAATCGGAGATGCAGTCCGTATTCTAAATAATTACAGTAATTTTATTATATATTATTTGATGTTTCAGATTATCCTAAACCATAACAATAATGTTATCGCCTTTTGTGGTGTTAAATGTTGCAAGCAGAAACATTTTTACTTCAACCCCTGTGAGTCAGATAATTAAATTGAGTCCAATTGAGAGTAGTGGACAACAGCGAGATAGAAAGGCAAGCTATGATGGAGGGTAGATCACCACGTTGCATACACATTTACAACAAGCGTGGGATGAGATACATCGGTGAGACAATAAATGAAAAATTATATAAAAGATATTATCATTTTGTAGAATCAAATTTATCCAAACATTGCTATATGAATTATTCAGGTGTTGGAATTTTAGTTGTTAGGGGGCAAAAAGAAAAAGAGTATACTGGTTGGATTGAAATAGCAGCAGGTTCCTAAAATTCCCAAATTTGATAGCAACAATCTGGTACTCGTAGATGATATACTTCTAGGTACAAGAATACAGGTGCCTATTCCACACATACTCCGAACGAAAATAAAAGAACAGACACACAGCAAAGGAGCAGATTATACCAACGATTGCATCCAGATTCGTCTAGTGTATCTATCTTATCTACTATTGTAATACATATCAAATATTTCAAGAAAATGTTAATATTGTAATTATTTAGTATTTTTTGCAAAACTTATTTGCAAGCGTATCACTCATGTATCTCTGTATTTTATTGTATAATAATATTATAATAATGAAACTACCACAAATTCAAACCTATTTTTAGATATATATACACTAGGGATATGTTTCACTTAACGTTTGCAACGCTACTGTCATCATATCATCTTGTTTAATATTTGATAACAAGGATGAAATGATATCCTGCATATGAGATTTTGTGTGTAGGTATAGAGCTTGCAAGTGTAACTTTAATTAGCAGCTATGTGATGTCTGTCATTTTATATTTAAGCAATTATTTAAATTAATTGTTGAAATTATATCATGTCTATGTTCGAATTTATGATATTTTTGTTAAAATTTTAGCAAATTGCACAACTTTAATTCTTCGTCGTTTAGTATAATTTATTATTAGATTTGTCTTCATCGAAATCCAATTAGTAATGCAAATAATTCTTCAGTTTCCGATAGCACTTGCTTTCTATGTGTGATTCCTATATAAGAATTAACATAAATAAGCACTTTGGATCTTCATGGAGAATCTGATACTGATGAAGAAATTTTTGAAGCTAGAATCTATCTGAAGACTTCCTAAAATTCATGAGACATTTTTGGGAAGAATCAGAATAATGTCTTTATGACGTTTTTAAGATTTCTTATGCGTCGATTTATGACGTCCTGAAAATATTATCCTTAATGGTTATATTCTACAATGTGCTTTTTGTTTCCTGTTTCTTGCTTTTTACTATTTTTTACATCTTGTCTTTTTGCTTCTTATTTTTTGTTTTATGTCGCCCGAGATAAAAGTTAACAAACTTCGAAAGAAACAAGAAATACGTAACGAGAAATACAATTGTCGATAAAACGGTTGCAAAGGAGAAAAAAGTAAAAGGTAAAAGCAAAAAACAAAAAGCACCTTGTAGAATAACCAGCATAAGACTTGCTTCGGATATTTGTTTAAAAAATAAAAATTAAAATTACTGATACGGAAACACGTTGATAAGGGGAAGTATACGAAGCAGAAGTTGGAATTATCTGATAAATCTGTATGTGAATGTTATCATACTTAATACATACTTTTCATAAGGATCTATAATTGTGACAGATAATAGTTATTGAAAATAAATATTGAGTATAATATCAATCATATATACCGATTTATCAGGTAATTCCAATTGCTGCTTCGTATTGTTCCTCTTGTTGCGTTTCCGGACAGTTTCGCAGAATTATGTGTAGTTGTAGAATACTATAATATAATACTATAATATAATACAAAATATTAGAATGTCAAATTAATTGACATCCAATATTTTTGTAGATTACTTATTATATTCAGTTCATGTCATGCACTCGATATTATATATAAATAAAATTTGCAGTTGATAATGTAAAGTGCTACACATGCTCCAAAATTTTGTAACATTTTTCGAAAATGTTTGAAAGACTTAAAAAGCGTCTTTTGGATGTCTTTCAGACATGCATGTTCTCTGGGATGTATCATTTTATCCCCATTTAACACTCTGCGAACAACAAGAAAATGAACTTATTAATATTTATTTATCTCGCATATCTCAGTGTGTTGTCATTTACTTATTATTTAAAGTGTTTTATTATAATAGTATTTCAATTTGTATATAAAAATCTGATAAACTTTATAAAAAATTATAAAATTATTCACAAATTCTTTATATAGAAATTTTGAAAAATGATATAAAAAATTTTTACCAGGGCATTGTCTTTTTTCTTTTCAAAGATTATAGTAAATAAGCATACAAATTCCCTGATTTTTTAAAATTAAATATCCACCTGTTTAGCGCCTTGCTTTCGTTTTTTATGTGTATAACAAAATGAAATTGATGCTGTTACGCATTATATACATATTAATATAACTTTTCATTAGGTAAAATAATCAATTTTTTAATAATAATATATATTTTTCACTGACGACACGTGTTTTATTGACAATAAGTCTTGTTACAAATCTTACACTGCGTCTTTGGAGTACAACTTAATATTTCCTGCGAACGATTCGGCATAGGCTTTTTTTCATCATTATTAAAAAGCTTTCAGTTGCATTATACTATGTATATTGCGAGTTGCGTGATTCTTTCAAAAGATCGAGAGTATTGTACTTCATGATACTTAGAAAGAACCACTTGACCTGCTTAAATCTAAATTAAAATAAGAAATTTATTATTTGTACATACATGTGGAAGTGATGAACATTCTTTTTTTAAAAATATCAACGAGACAGAGTAAAAATACACACTGAAAAATATAATTTAATATATAATATGTAATATACGTGTATATAAAAAGATGAGCCGCTCAGATTTCTCACGTAATATATCAGTGGTTTTAATCGCAGTGTCGTATTGGTGATATTGCTTTCGTTGTATAATATAATAAATTAGAATCGCTGTCTCATTTCCTGACGAAATAATAATAATTGATTCTATAAGACAAATGGGCCTTCCTTTCAGCCATCGCACCGTCTCGATCGATCGATGCAGATGTGCGCACGATGGCATGACTTAGATTATGGTCGTGTACACTCCCACACGTGTACATGATGTAAATAAAACATGGATCTGTCTCTCTCGTTGCTGATCTCACGACATCGGTGCGAAAAGCTGCTTGGCACAGATGTTGCAATATGATCCTGTCATCGCATTCGCTTCGCGTAAGCGCAAGAGCACATGATAGACAAAGGGTGCTTTACAGCAACGTACATGGACACAGTCTACTGACTTTGCATCACTGCGTAACACAGTGTACGATCTTGTGCTTTCCACCTATGGCACAAGTCGACACAATCGCACACAGCTAAAATGCTAACTCTGGCGATGAGATAAAAAAGCAACATTTCAGATACAAGTCGACGCACTGTGTATTGTGTTACACAGCGTTTGTTCTGTTGCTGGAAAATACTAGATACCTAAAGAATACAAATGAACGCTTTCCATTTAGTAACACAAGCCGACACAAATATCATTTTATCATTCACGAATAATTAAAACAGAACATGTGTCATTAAATGGAAAGCACCCAGTGTAACATGGTGAACCATTTGATTTTTATTTAATATCTGCAGGAAACAACAAGGATGTATTGATTTACTGTGTTTGATTTATCGTATCATCTGTGTCTCTTGTCTTGTTGGACAGCAGCCAAAGTGTCGACCGACATCTATTGTGTCGTTCATAAAAAGTCCTTGATAATGTATGTATATTGCGCACATTGTAATCATTATCCATAAGCAATATAACAGTCGACTGATACTTTCTCTATTATATGCTCTTGCCCTAAATCTGGAAAAACGTACTCCAGTATAAAATGTTATATATATGAACATATTTTATATATAATTATATATATAAAACATATTTTATATATAATTGTATATAAAATATGTCAATTTTTTATATAATTATATATAAAACATTATATATGAAATTATATATGAAATATTTCTTCTCGAGGCAGCTTTACAACAGAATCAACCGCAGCTAGCGATTCTCATCTTTCTTTTTGTGACATGCTCTAACAGACTCTCGTTGAAGCGGATAAACAAATATAAAATAATCGCTCGCAATAAGATACTCGAGCTCACGTTGCTCGGGTGAAACACGGCTCATCATCATTTCAAGACGTGCGATTCTTGAGCAACGTTGGCTCGAGGAAACGGTAATTACACGAGTAAAGAATCTAATAAGATAAATAGGAACAAACCTTAGGGAAGAAGCGAGTATATCGTTAATTAAAAATAAGAGAGAAAAAAGAAACAAAAAAGACAAGTAAAGTAACGCGGCTCGTATAAATATGATTCATTTGTGGCGTCGTCGATTAAACTCTCAGTATCGCTCGATACCTCCGCGGCGAATATGGTATCGAAGCTCAACGATATAGAAACTCTCGCGAGATATATATATTAAAAGTATAAAAAAAAGAAAAAACCGTAACAGACTAGCGAGTGTGATTTTCTAACATGTCCTTTAATCCTTTCGAGACAGTGTTCAAACCATGTCGCGACAATCTTCGCGTCCACTACTTTGCAGCTAGCAGAGATCGCTAATCACACTTTACAGGGAATCTTTTAAGAAAACCGTAAAAAAGGAGTATATGCGCAAAAATACTAATCTTCTAAGAACGCGAGATCTCGAAAGAATTAAAGACCTCAATATATGTTCTTGATATTCAACGCGAATATTTGGAGGATCTTCGCCTTTCAACCAGTCTCCCCATGGAAAGATTGATTTTGCTGAAGTGTCTAAAAATTGAACTACATACAGATCTGAAAATAATTTTGTTGTACTGTCAAGCATAATAAGCAAAAGGTTTTGAATCAATATTCAAACAATATCAGCTTAGACGTTCTACATGATTATTTTGATAGCCTAAGAAATTATTTTCAGATCTGTATCTAAATTTTTACTTTATACTTTTGCAAAACCATTTTTTCCATGTTGGACTCCTGAACTGTTTGAGACCGTAATTGTCGACTTGGATTGATCGATTACTCTTCCGTCTCAGGCTTTTTACCGGTCGTTCCCTTTGCATTCGTACTCTTCGTCTTCCGCTTGGGCGGAACTGGCGCGTCGACGCCAACAGCGCCGGTTGGCGTTGGCGGCGGTGGGGTCTCCGGTATGCTTGTGTCGGTCTCCAGGCTCTTCGCGCCGGTCTTCTTCATTGTCTTCACGGTCTTCTTCGTCTTGCTCTGCGAGCCGTCCGCGGCGGCGCCCTCAGTCGCGGTTGAGGGTGCCGCCTCCTCGGGCTTTACCTTCGGTTTCTTCGTCACCTTCTTCACCGTCTTCTTCGCCTTCTTGTCCGCGCCCTCTCCATCGGCGCCGTCCACTGAGTCGGACTTCTTCAGGCTCTTCTTCGCGGCCTCCTCCATCTCCTGCGCACTCTCCACGGACGGACTGATCGGTGGTGAGGCCTCAGTCACCGTCGGCGTCGATGGAACATTTGACGGTTTCGCTTCAATGGGTTCTTCTGGCGGTGGACTTTGCTCAGCGATTGGTGATGCCAAAACTTCACTCGGTGATCTCGCTGTTGCTGCTTCTGTTCCTTCTGTT